AGAATGGTTCGACCTGCAAGAACCTAGCAGCTCAGATGTTTATTGCGAGAACACGTTGTCGTTTTTCTATCATGCTGAAGTAGTGGAAGTTTAAATTCAGGCAATCGTCATACTTACGGTTTACCGAAGCCTAATTAGTGGGCCCTTTCGTGATGCTACGCAACTCAATTCTTGAATTTCAAGCTGGCAGATATTTCAACTCGGTGTTCGGCATACTTTCGATTTTCGACAGAAAAGTCGCGAAGGATGACAAACCCCTCAGACAAGGACTGAATCTGCAAGTCTGTCATTGCGTTAAATTAATTTCTATATATCTACCGAGCGTGGCGTCGACCAGTCACTGGCAGACAGCTATGACAAATCGTTTAAGATAAAGCCGCGAAATGGCGCTTAAAGCAGTTAGACTTTCTGCGTTCGTCTTCATACATAGATATAAGCAACTGAGGCCGCTCGAAAAGCGATCTACCATCGTTGGGTACCTTAAGAACGATTTCTCGTCTCAGCCGGCTTTTTCAAAATGAAGCGATACCTTGAGGGCTCAAAGTAGCTCTAAATTCAAATCAGAATTCTTTTAATGATCTTTATGCGATGCAAACGTTATCATCGCACTTCACTGAAGCAGAAGCTTACAGGATCGGTACTACAGCTTCCACAGTCAGTATATGAATGACTCACGTGCGACTGAGCGACATAACTCACTGAAAATGCAGGAAATAGATGCTGACGTAACAAAAAACTTTCGCTCTACGATTCGAATTTCTGACTTAGAAACTGATAAATAACAGTTCTTGCAAAATATTAGTGTTTCAGTAATTCATAAAATTTCGAATTCTGAAACATGGTAAACTATATACGGAGCCAGGAGGCGACGTTGTCACCACACAACCAAAATTACAACGGCGGAGATTTAGTGCATTTCTTATTAAGAAGAAGCTCAGGCATATAATCTAAGCGACCGGTGCACGTTTTAGAATTTCTCTCATGGAAAACTACATTCCTTAATCGATTTGTTGTAACGCATACTAATAATTGACTGTCCTTGACAAAAATCATAATT